CATGTGATTATTCAAGCGAAAATCCTTAATTTCCATGTGAAATATTGCAGTATGATATGTACGATGCAAGGAGATCATATACAAGCNATCTCTCTCGATCTCTCTCCATGNAAATTTTGCAGGTAAAATCNCTCACTCTCAANCTNCGGGTTAGTTTCTCTATTAAGTAGATCGAGATTTTATTTAAGGTGTGTTTAGTATTCAACTTAAAATTTAGTTATGAACTTGGTTTCTAAGATTGAACTTTGCTCTAGGTTTATATTTTATGGTTATTTCCATGTCCCAGAATATAGAGGTTGAATAACGCGTGGATGAGCGTTCTGTGGATGATCTTTTATCGTTTATTAATGGCAGAAGTATATTTCTTTGATTTTATTCTGTTTTCTTATCTTCATATCTCTCCGTTATATCATGTTCCTTTCTTTTTTTCTGCTCCGAGTTGTCTCCTATTCCATGCCGATGGCATCACATGGTTCATCTCTGTAGTCTATTATGATTCTTACATTCACCTAGATTTATTTAATTTTATTATGAGACTCTTTTCTAGTTGCTGAGTGTCTGGTATGAGAGTCTCACTGTCTTGTGCTGCAATCTCTTGGACTATTTATTAGTCATTTTACATGTCAATATACTTCTTGCTTATGCTTTATGGCCGAGTTGATAGATTAGTTGATGTTCGAATCTTTGCTGGTATCCTGGGTGTCCTTGATTGAGAGTTTATGTTTGCATTGCCTCTTAGTCTTCTATTTTCTCTTTTCCACTTTTTTTAAGCTCTCATTAAAGATACGGAAAATGATGTTATACATATCCCAAGGTGGCAAAGACTTCCAAAAGCAAAAAGAAGAACAAGAAAAGGAAGGTGCATAAGAATGGTAAATCAAATGGAACATGTGAAGCTTCCAAGAAGGTTTGAACTTGCTTCTCTCTAATTGCTCCTGGTTAGTAGTAATCAAGTTACTGAGTCTATTCCTTGTGCTTAGGATTCACATAATCNTCATTNCAAACAACAAANTGCTGAAATTGTTGATGAGAGTGCGACCAGCAGGGGAGAGGTCTCTAACGTACTTNGTATGGAAGATGACATTTTTACACTGAAGACTGAGTTTGAAGATGGTTATATAGATGATGAAATTGATCCAGCTTTGAAGGAAATGCTTGATAGGTAAGTATCACTTGCTAATTTTGAACTCCTGCCAGGAGTATTCACTTAATAAGTATCACACAATTCCTATATCTAGATTTACATCAAGTTGCACAGTCATGTAGTGAAACAGAATAATAAATGATGAACCTCATGTTATTACAGAGAAGTAGAGGATTTTGCTCGGAGATTGAACTCTAGCTGGATTCTATCGTTAGACAAGAAAGGCAGCCTGTGCACTTTTCCATAAACGGCAATGTGACTACAAGGCGATTGACAGGTACACAATAACCTTTTTTCACAGCAAACTTTTTTGGCATTTAATGTAACAATGTATCACAAGGGGATGTTGAACTGAATCACTTACCGGTTTTAGACCCATACATACGCCAGATTGAGTCTTCAACGTAGCTCTAGATGACTGATGGGAGATGGTTTGGTTTGCCTCCGTTTTGAACTTTGAAGGTCCAGCTGCAGGACACAAATGAAGCTGAAAACGCTAACCCAACGGCTGGA